AAAAGTTTTCAGCAAGAGTGACATAACACTTAATAATTCTATTGTAAGCCATAACATTTATTTCAACAATAAAGTCATATATCAAAATAATACGGTTTTTCAGATAAATAAAAAATAAATTATTTTCTTACCTTTGTAGCAATAACGCATTAACTTATATTATGTCGTTTTACCAGAAAAGTATCGATACTTATCGGTATGCCGGTGGAATACTAACTGAGATAAGACAGTATTGAAAAAAAACACATTGGTAACCAATGATAACGCAATAACGTCACAACTGCCATCTAGCGGCTAATTTTTGTATATTCACTTATGTCGTTCTTGCAGTATAAAGAAAAACACCAAAATTATTATTATATGCAGATAACTCAAAAATGACGATTTTTGTGTTATGTCGTTGTTGTAGCAAACAAGCGACATATATTACTACTGGCACGCGACACTACCTACGCAATAATCAATTTGAAATAATATTTATCTAAAAAACACTTTAACAAATAATAATACGTTTATTGATATACGTATTTACAATTAAGATACATTATTATATTAATTATATCGAGATTTTTATGGTGTTTTATATATTTTATTCTTCATTTGTCAAATAATATACGTAATGATAAACCAAGTTGCCGAAGCTTAATTAATAATTAAAAATACATTTTACTTACACATTTTATTTTGAAACTTAAAACTTATTTTTTACACACCTTTATAATATGATAGAGACATAGAGTAGTTATATCAAAAACAGAAAATTAACTTATTTTTAAAAAACTAAATTATTTACGTGAAAATCTTGAATATTTTGTTTTCATTAAATCTTCATAGTTTGGTTTTGGTTGAGGTGCTATTGTTTGACGTATTGGTACAGTCTCAAATTCCGTTATTGTTGGTGTTATTTCTTTCATTTTTTTTTTATTTCTGACAAAATTGTATGACGCCACTCGTCGTTACTGGGTTCATATTTGGTTTTTAAAACATATCGTCCAGCAGGTTTTGAATATACCATTTTGTCACCCAATTCTTTTTTATTTATATTATGATTATGGTCTAAAATGGCAATCATACTTCTCATGTGCATGCCTTTCTACTTTAAATGGATTTTTTTTGCATATATTTTAAACGTAAGTTATGGTATGACTCTAATCGACCAGTGTGCACGAAGTTCTTTGCATGTTAAAAATCCTTTAGTAAATCTTTTGACATAATGATTTTCTCCAAAGCATAGTAGGACTCACTAACTTAATTTAGCCATAATTTTGATCTGATTTCATTTTCTGTTAATTGTTCGTGTTGACATTGATTTTTATTACCATGTTCAACCCATTCGTGCTTATTAGAAATATGATATAATACAGAAATAAATTTATCAACTAACAATTTTCCATTTCCTTCACACGTTTGGGCAGACCACCAAAGATGGTTGTTTATTGAAGACTTCCATAAAAATGCATCAGGATACTTTTTTTCCAATGGTTTAAATCTCTTCATCAAGCTTTTACTCAAATGCCATATATCAAATTCGTGCGTAATTTTTGGATGTTGTGTTCGAATATATTTACGAATTCCTTTGTGTCTATCTGTAAGTAACAACTCAATTTCACAATCATATACATTTTTTAACTCTGTTAGTAGTTGTTCACAAGCTTGTCTTTCTAGATCACCTTTTATTTGACCCTTTTGAACCAATTTAAAATCCACAATTTTGCCAAAGTGAATATCCATTACAGAGTATGTACAGTATTTTGTACAAAATCCAGGGGAGTCTAATTGACCGTCTCCTGCCAGCCAAATAGGTAACTCAGAAGACATAATACTATTAATATTTGCATTTTTGTGTTCTTGCCATTGATTACATATGACAGGGTACACGTATTTATTGATAATTTTATCAAATACCGGACGGGTAAAGTTTTATAGCTGTACAAAATGCTTTGAACTGATTAAATGAAATTCCAGATAATGTAAGAGCACCACCTATCAAAATATTCCCTTCAGGTCTTTTACCAACTTTCGGCTAATAATACCATTGTAATCTATGATCGTTTTCACACAGTGTAGAAACTGAAAGTAGCGCACCTTGAATAAAATGTTGTTTTGATGTAACTTTGCCACTACATTGGTGACAGTGTGTAAAAAGTTCTAATAGACAGTTCCAAAACACAATGAAACAAGAATCATTTTCAAAATTATTTTTTGCAGTTAATGACAATCTATTATTTTTATTACTTGAACTACAATTAATATCAGCTTCACTATCTGAAGAACAAGATTCATCGCTCGATTCTGATGAAAAATCGAATGATAAATCATCATTTACTTCTAAATTTGTATAAATATCTTTTCCAATTTCACACTGTACACTCTTATCATTTGGATTACTTAGTTCCTCTAAAATATCTGTATCTAAGCTTGTGTCATTAAAATTAATCCCATCGTAGTTTTCTACTAGCATCGATTTTTCTGGTGTACTTGATGGAATCAAACTTGCAGTTTCTGTGTAATACCTACGTTTTACTCTTAAATCACGTTTACTAGGTAATAAATCAATTGTTTCGGATCGTAGAGTGGGAATTACTCCAGAATTCAAATTTATTCTGACTTTAGTATCAGGCATCAATTTTTCTCTAAGAACATCAGATTGATTAAAGTCTTCAAGTTTAAAATGTTTGGAACACAACCAAGAATTTTTGGATGGCTTAAAGTTTTTTCGTTTACAAAAATCTATCCATTTTTGTGTCTGTTTGGTGATTTTTCACGATTTGGAAATCTGTAGAAATGTAAACGTTTCGAACTTTCATCACTTTCAGAGCATCCATAAGCCGAACAGATTGGCATTTTTAAATCTAAATTATGATAAAAATTACTTCAAGATTATTATTACCAATATTAATTACAATTACTGTTATACCTACATAATATTATCATTATAATAGTGTAATAAATTATTGGCTTTATTTGAAAAATTACAATCTATACAGTATGTACAATAAGTAATATTGATAATTTAGAAACAGTTGACAGTGTTTATCCGCATGAGGAGGAAATCACACATTTGACAACGATCTAAAAATATATTTTATAAAACTGGCGTTACGAAAATAAACACAGATAATAATATTATATTAGGTATCCTACAGTCAATAAGCGTCGTTGCCAGTCGGTGTGTCATCAATAACGCTCGCTACACTGAATATTTGTAACCATCGTATATAAATTGTTAAATTGTATATTATTTAAAAGTGAACAGGAAAAATGAGTTTACAGCCTTGTTGTTTTGAACCTACCCTACAAGATATTGATGAAACAACTTTAGAAACAATATCGGTTAATCCGTTAGTGGCGATTAGTTGCGACGAAAAAACAAAAAGGAAATCAAAGATTGGTGTTTATGCAAGAAATGTACAACTATGAAAACTGATAAAGAATGTGTTTGTTGTTTCGAATTTGACAACTTGACTAAATTGCATGATAAAAAAATTTGTATAACTAACATTCCATCTTTTCGAAAAGTTATTATGGACGAGGAAATTCTCAACATCACCAGGCATCAAATGATTATTAAAGCTCGTAACAGTAACAAGAAAAAAATGCTTTCAAGTCCATGTCCCCAGAATAAAACTTGGAGATTTATATGCTATAAACAATTTATTCACTGGATATACTCATGGTCTGCAATAGGCAAAGGTAAATAATAATTAAAAAATATTTTGTTTCCATTATATAGGTTGTTTTAATAAATTATTTGCGGACCGGTAAATTGTAATAATTTCTATAGGTAATCGAATATGTATTCCAGCATGTGTAGTGAAAGCGATTCGAAAAAAATATCCAGAAAATAATGGAAATTACGTGGGCTTCAAAGAAAACAACAAACTCCCAGAGTAACATCATATAAACTATAAATAGTAGTATTATACCTTTAATGTTTTCTACAATATATTATATTATTAATAGGTATGTAAGCTATAATTATATAGACATAATGCAAACTCAATTACAAATAAAAAAATACAAAATATCACAACATTAATTATAAAATATTATTTTTGTAAAATAATGCTATTATCAAAAACTCAAATTTTTATGACAATATTTAAATATTTTAATACTTATTCTTACCTCGTAGCTATTAGCTAAGTATGAAACCGTATGTAGTAATATGTCGTCCGTGTGTAATATTATATAATGCAAATGCTGATATGCGTGTGCACTGTGTACGTTAGTAATTACCATGCACTAAATAGTAAAAATAATATTATAATACCTACACGTATTTGCGTCGCAGCGTGTCGTGGGTGTGGACTGTGATGATCGGCGACGGCAGCGACGCGGCGGCGGCGCACCAGTGACGTCACACGTAAAACAAAACTGATGGATTTAGGCGGAACCCATGGTCAGATAAAAATTTTGAAACTACCGATTTTTTTATTTTTCACACACTATTTGATTTCATTAAAATAAAAAAAATGATTTTTATTCCTTTCATGGTCCTTTAAGTTAAGTAAGGTTGTTCCCGGAACACCTCAATCATACACACCGAAGACGGCACTGCTGTATGCACCAGACGGCGTCGTCGTACGTCTGCTACAACGTAGTCAACATCCGGAACGAAATGCCTGGAGCACAGCTTTGAGCTGAGGTTCAAGACATGACCGCCATTGTTCAAAACAAATTCCACCCATTGAAGATGACGTTCCATGTCAGTTGGAAATCTAAGGGGGAATGTGATGACATATTTACTATACTGATTGATATCATGTGTTGGGTTTGGAATTGTATTTACCTGTGTAAGGAGACATTTGCGAATTCGTTCATAACACCACACAGCACACAGCGTTTCACCACTTTGAATACACTGAAAAGTATCGTTTAAAATTATTATACATATATATATATATATCATAAATAAGAACAGGTCGAGGGAAGTTAGAGAAAACTAATACTTTTACATATTATATTGGGTAAACAAAAATTATATAATATACACTATTATGACGGTGTCGGTATGTCGTCGACGGTGATTGTTTCACTGCATTATTTTTAGGAAATTAATACGTCAAATTATTTGATACCTTTCGCAGTGCGTATGTACATCGTGACAGAAAAATACGAAAAACTACACACCGATCTCGTCGTAGCACAGCGCCTGTTTTTCGTAAAATGTTAAATCGACCAAACGGAATGAAGCAAATACGCGCCCATTAATACTCTGACCCAGTGTAGAATAATGTAAAACGAATACGATGAGCATTGGCGCAAATAGGGGGGGGGGCTTAGCCCCCCCAGAATTCGGTCAAGTCCCCCCAGTTCAAAATCTAGTAATTAGTACTAATTTTTATATTCTGTAGTACTAAACATATATATATTTTAAAAACTTAACCAAATTACAAAATGCAATTATTAAAAAAAAATTGTTATTATGATAGTTTTTTTTATAAATCTTTATAAAAAATACAATAACATATCTTCCATGCCTCGTGGTCAAACTGATAATTGATAACTGATAAGTAATTATAGGTGATAAACTATGAGGGGCTGTATCACAATCACGGCTATAGTACTATCTATATCTGTGGTTGCTGTTGACCTCCACACTGTCGACGCTTTACGCGCCATTTTTTGAACGGAAGCACGGAGCATTTTGTTATCATCAATAATTAGAATCTCTGAGGAAATAAGAATCTCTATTATGCCTCTATGAAGTATCATGGTCTATGACTCTATGACTATTTTATACATGTATAACTTATTTCAGTTTTTAACCCACGTGATTTAAATGTTCAGTGTATTTTTTACTAAATAAGTAAATAACCATGAGTAAGTTTTTTGAAATTTTCAAGAAAAAGAAAATAGTTACAACTGGTGACAATAATATACCAGTTGAAGAAGAAAATGAATCTCACTCAAACTCAATGCTTACTGATGTTCAACCATGTTGTAGCAGAAAATCTAATGTTATTGATACGAATACATCATTGACCGATACTAGGGACAAAAATGAATCATGTTCTGATACTGATGTAACGGATTTAGGTAATTTGATATCTGGACCTATGCAGCCATTATTAAAGGTATGATTAATAATAATAATAATAATAATTTATTAATTACATATAGCACATACTTATTGCATATGATTGTAAATATAATTATACACCTAATACAGTCTCACAGTGATATATTTATACATAAAATATTTATAAAGATAATGTATAATATTATTTATATCCATCATGTTTGACTACAATACTATTTGCTTTATTAATATTTAATAGGCTTATCCTGTAACACAATTTAGCAAACAAAATAGAGCTTTCTCTGCTACTTATTTTAAAAAATTTGACTGGCTAGAGTATAGTGTCAAAAATAATGCTATTTATTGCTTTGCTTGTCGCAATTTCATCTCTAATAGTGCAAATAATGATGATACATTTGTAACAATCGGTTTTAGTAATTGGAAAAAAGTGAGTTTTTTTTTACATTTCTTTAAATAATAAATAAAATATTGAAATTCACTTTTTATTTAGCTTTGTGGTAGCAGAGGTATCCAAAAAAGCAAGCAGTCTAAATTAGAAGCTCATGCATCTACAAAATCCCATATAACTTGTGCTGCAAAATGGTCTGCTTTTAAATCAAGTAAAGTTACTGGAAGTGTAATTTCTCAGATATCCAGTGCTAATAAAAACTTAATTGTGCAAAATAGAATATATATCAAAACTATAATTGATATTGTATTGTACTTATCGCGTCAAGGGATGGCATTTAGAGGGCACAATGAAAATATATCATCTATCAATCAAGGTAATTCTATTATATTTATAAAACAATAAACTAAATCAATTTGTTATTATATAATTTTGTTTTATGTAATTCTAAGGAAACTTCAAAGAGGCCTGTAGACTTTTTGCAAAGTATAATCCTGAGTTTTCTCTTATACATGCTAAAACAACTAATTATACCAGTTGGTATATTCAAAATGATATCGGAGAGATTTGTTCCAAAAATGTAAGAGATGTAATTGTTAATGAAATCAAAGAAAGTAATATGTATGCAATTATGTGTGATGAAGCCAGGTAATTGTATTTTTAAATATAGTTATTTAGTTATTATTGACTGTCATGCTATTATGCTAGTAATTGTTTTTATTAAATTATAAATTTTTCTATTTTTTTTTTTTTTAAGGTGTTTCAAAGAAGAACAATTGGCATTCTGTGTCCGATATCCAAAAGGTTTAACTGTCAATGAGAGGTTCCTTGGATTTATTGATGTGTCCAAAAGTCAAAAAGCTGAGGCTTTAGCTTCTAAAATTTTTGAATTTATCGATTCATTAAATTTAAATTCCATTCCTATTGTTGCTCAGTCTTACGATGGCGCAGCTGTAATGTCTGGATGTAAAAATGGTCTACAGACAAAAATAAGACAAAAGCACCCAGAAGCCATTTATGTTCATTGCATGGCTCACAAATTGAATCTTGTGGTTGTTGATACTTGTAATTATATTAAAGTAAGTACATTTATTAGGCGTATTGACTGACTATTGAGTATAGATTATGGACCATAGTAGATAGTACTTTTTGTTATAATAAAATATTTTGTGTTATTTCAGTATGCAAGAAATGTATTTAATACAATCTAAGCAGTTTATGTCCACTTTTCTCATCCTTCTATTAACTCAAAACTAGTACTTCTACAAGAAAGTTTAAAAATAAATAAAAATTCACTAATGCGAGTGTCCGACACAAGGTGGATTTGCCGTTTTCGAAACTGCCAATCAATAATTAATAATTATGAAGCAATCATTCAAATTTTAAGAGAAGAAATTGATTTAAATAATGATAAAAATGTTGCTCAGGCAGTTGGTATGAATAAATATCCTATAAAAATAAAATACATACTTTTTATTATTAGCATTGTTGCATTGTTATTGTAAATATAGTTTACACTTTACTTTTTTTTTGTAAATCATAATTTCATACAAAATTCTTTTTTTCCAGGTATTTTAGCCACATTACAAAAAGGACCATTTATTATTTACTTGTTTATACTACACCAAGTTTTAGTTGTTATAAATGTGCTTAGCAATCAACTACAGCAAAAATCAGCTACGCTTGGAAATACTGCAACGACAGTAGTAGGAGTTATAAAAGCATTTGAACAAAAAAGATGTGGAGAAGAATTTACCAAATTATGGTTAGAAATACAAAGCTTTGCTAACAAACACAGTATTTCACTGGTTATTCCATCTCAAGGTATGACTACTGTGAATATAATATTTCTTAAACGGTTTAAATCAACACACAAATATTGTTTTACAGGATCAAAAAGAAAAAAAACTGTACCAAATTCATTCGAAAATTTCTACTTAACAACTACTTCTAGTTTCGAATCTGCTGCAAATGTAAATGATGCAAATTGTTCTGTAGAAGAATTTTGGCTCATTAATGGATATTATGTAGTACTAGATAGCTTAATTTTAAACATGAACGACAGATTTTCTGCAGAAAGCTTAAAATTAGCAGTGTCAGTTGATCAATTATTTAAGATGAACTTTGAAAACAGCATGAATTTTTTTGATCATTTTATGGTAAGTCTGTCCATTTATAACTTAAATGTTGTTTAAATTAATTAATTAAACAGATAATTTTAATTAACATTGAAAAAATATTTATAAATATTAAAAATTACTGGAAAATATATTATAATTTATGTTTCTGAATTGTAATTATGAATATAAAAATAAACTTCATATTTTTCAGTACTATCAAATCTAATTGATATTGTTTATTTTGTTTACAGAGACTAACAGGAAGCTGTAAAAAATCATTAGAAGCTGAGATGACCGTTGCTAAATCTTGCTTACTAGCGAAAAATGTAAATTTTGATATAACAGACGTGATTGAGCTTATTAGTCCATCAGTATATCCTAACCTGTACAAATACTTGCAACTCGCGACAACGATACCCATCAGCTCAGCTACATGCGAACGATCATTTAGTGACATGAGAAGGGTGAAAACTTGGTTGAGGTCAACTATGGATCAGACTAGGTTCTCAACTCTATCTATTCTACATATTGAGAGGGATTTATCTAATAATATAAATACAGAAGATATTTTAAATGTATTTGCCGAAAAAGAACGAAGAATTTTGTTAAAATAAATATATTCTAAAAATGTAATACTTTGTATTTTTATATATCCGTAACGATAGTTGCTCAGTGGGTGGGAAATTTTATGGAGAGCGTTTCCCTCCAACATTTGTTTTACTTATATTATGGCTTTTTTGGAGGGGGGCTTGAGCCCCCCCAAAAAATTTAGTCAATTTGCGCCTATGACGATGAGCACAACTGTACACGGTGTACCTACACGAAAAAACCCAAAAACGCGACATAGTCGAAATATATCCTCCGTATAATATAATACTATTATTATAATAGCGGTAAACGACGTTTGTAATGAAACAATAGGTAGCGTCCGCGACGCGCGCTGCCATAAATACTCCTGTACTTATAAATGTATAATGTAATGAATATTATGTTATGTGTATGTAGAATTTGTACTCACCGGTATGAAAAGCGCCCAATACAAAGCGAATAGGAAATCCGAAATAGGCTTTCGTAGATGCTCGTTGTACGGGCGTTTGTCACAAGATGACGTTGGCCGAGACGGTCGCATTTCCCGTGGCTAAAGTTGCCCCCTGCACTGCAGCATTACACCGACGTACAAGTATATTCGTTTAATATCCGTTTATCTAATAATAATTCAAATGGCCATACTGTAGTATTGCGCGTATTGCGCTCGTCCATCGATACATGTGCGTGGTTTATACGTAATCCGAAAATTGAAACTTCGTCTTTATATATATACACAACACATTCGGAAGTACATTTTTCAAGAGCGGTGTATAGACATGTACACGGACGGCCGTCAGACAATTGGGGTGGGGATGAAGGAGAGGGTCGTTGGACTTGAAGAATTAATATTTTGATAGAGCCCGCAAAACAGGTGGAATTGAGACACAATTTGCGTAATCGGATATGACTATAACCTACATAATATATCTGAATTTATCGAACGACATGCATGTAATTTCTGTTTAATTACAATATTCAAGTATATAATGAAATAAAACATTGAAAATTTGAAAGAAAATTTAAAAAAAAAACGGGAAAAAAATTCAAAAAGTTCGGGCGGCCGTTCCAACCTGCGGGCCGCCGCAATTTATCAGTGTCGCCGTGTCGAAACCTATACCCGGGGAACTTCGACCTAACGCCTACACCTGCCTACCTACGATCTGAGATACCGATAAATGTCAAATCTACCACACTTAAGCTGTTTTTCCATTATACCAAATATTGCATTAAACATTGCTTAACCGAATAAATGCATAAGAATTGTGTGTAATTAAACCGTAAATCGCATTTCTATATGATTCTGGTGTGTGTGTACTTCAATCCCTATCAATAATTGTCTATATATAATAGATATATACTTCACTTCATTTGGTTCATGTTTAGACTGTTTGAATGAAATGTATTAACAGTTAATTTAAACTATAATATATGTTATACTAATAACTGTAATCATCAACATGTCAGTAGCATACATTATGCGAATACACTGCAATTTCTGATATATCTTGTTAAAAATTATACTAATATATGGACATGATAATGAATTGTGAAATATAGTTATAGAGTAGTCATCTATATTATTATGAGTATTAATGTACCACATAACAGAGCATACATTGAACTATATAAAAACAGTTGAACGTTGCTCATTAAAATAAAATCCAGAATAATATTTGTGTTCAACAATTCTCATATCTATAATATTGTAAAGTATATTTACTATGTACTGTCTGTGAGTAAATTCAAACAACAGTAATGTGTGTACGCCTATTATTAATAATAAAAAATAAACAGTTTATTTGAAGATAAATGTAATTAGACCCAGAATTTAGAGTTGTTTTTTGTGCGTTAAGCTCAGTTACAGCTATACTGTCAGTATGACTGAACGTATAGACATGTACGCAATGGCGTACACAAACATTGAATATGCAGACATGGTTTTTATGTTGGGTAAGTATTAGTTAATTTAATTAATTAGTTTAAGTATTTAACTAATATCATCTATTGGTGATTTATTTTATTAAAAACTCTAGGTATTTTACTTTATCACAAAACATACCCGTGTAACTATTTTAAGTTGTCGTAACCGACATGTTATACTAAACAAACTATTTATTTGTTTATTAATTGTGACTAGGTTTGGCTGATGGAAATGGAAATCTTGCAGCTATGTTATGGGCAGAACGTAAATAATAATAATAGTATAAAATAAAATGTTTATCTTTTCGAGTCAAAATAATTATGTTAAGTACTATGATATCCAAAAACTGGAATTTCAGTATAAACACACAAATAGGTAGTTCCTTTTATCTCTAACTATTATAACTTTTTAAAGTTAAAAGTTATTTAATAAAGGTATTACACAAATGCATGCTAGTAAATTTGATCGTTTAAAACTCTGTTAACCCTAATTTTGTTATTATTTCATATTTTTTATTAGTCGACAATGTAAAACAATGTGTTAATTAATCGTGCATTATCAATGACAACAAATATTTATCACCACTGGTTAGGTATCTTGCAGTATTCTCATACAAATCGATGTGTCACACGACTTTTTTTTTAGTTGGCGATTCGAGCGCGACAAGCGCAAAAATGATGCGATATCTCGATTCGTATGAGAATTTTGCAAAAAATACGACTAGAGTGTTTTTTTATATTCGAGATAATATTCTAAAAATAACTTTAAAAAACCCAAAAAACCAAAAAACTCTTCATTGTGGCATCACAGTGAGTATGCGTATATTATTTAGCTCACACACTTCAGAAACAACCTGTATATTATACATTTTGAACTACCGCATATTAATATATATAAATCATAAACGAATCGTTTGCTACATTAAAACCTAAAGGTATTCGATCATAACATATATATACATGTAGAAAAACAGCGGCGGCGATTTTTGCGATCAAAGTTTAGGGCCCCGCGGACGGCGAACGGAGGGAAACCTGACTCTACCGACAGGGAAAACTCGTGGGAAACGCGATGGGAGCGCGAACGGGGCCGAAAAATGGTCGAAAACGGGAGAACGGGAGGCGAAAAGGGAAAATTCCGTGGAAATTTGGAAAAAAGAGAAAAAAAACGATAACGGGAGATAAGGGCCGAAAAGCCGCGGAAGAAACGCGTTTTCGCTCCAATAGTTCCCTAAAGGACGACGAAACTGACACGGGAGGGCGCCCTCGGGTTGGCGTTTTATAATATAAGACTAGATTCCGGCGTTTGTCATCCCGCTTGCGGCGGAAGACTGTGTGGGCGGTGGTGCATCTTGAGTCCCCCAGACCCCCCGTGTTAGCTGCCCGTATACCCGAATACCGATATCAGGACTTGATAGTTTAGACGGTCCAGTCTTGTGCTTTTATGAAAGTCAAAAATCGTAAATCTTAAAGATTTATTTCAATGTCTAGCAAGTCAGTCACGTCCAGTGGAAATAGATTCACGTTTAACTTAGTCATCTAGGAAGGCAATCCTACTATGTCAATGTGGGACGCGGCATGTCAGGTATGTGGACACAGTGGTGGGCAGCTATAAGTGAGAATTGTCTTTGCAAAAGCCTATTAAAGTACATAATACAATGCCCTGTGGGATCAAACTCTCTTCCTGCGCTGGTTCTTACAATTCAAATTCAAAACAACCCAGGATCAACATTGTAAAACCTTCTAGGCTGTCAAAATATGACAAAGTGACAACGCAAAAGTTGTCCCCCGCACGTCACCACTCCACCAACCAACCCGAATCAATTGATAATAATATTAATGGTCATACTGTAGCATTGTGTGTATCGTTGATATTGAAGAGACGTTCGTAATTATTAACCGTCTGACGCGCCTAAATAATCGTACGTCTCGAGCATATTGTTGTATATTATATTATTATATGTACATAATTATGTAGGTATGTACAGTACATACAGACACAATCGAACGTCGTTTGTAATAGATCAAACCGCAGAACTGCGTTTACATTATTTGACTCACCTAAAAACCGTAATATACCAAGTACCTACTACATTGTATATTATATATCGTTATAGGTAGTCATATAATTGTACAATTTAACTGCCAGAATTCAATCTGTTCTATTAGATCTACTGTTTACACACAATGCAAACTGTTACAAAAAAACATATTTTATATGGTAGGTAGGTATACCAATACCAAAAATATAAACAGTAAATAGTACATCGCTTAAACTTTTAGACCAATGGACCAAAATATGTACTAATTTCACTATTAATTCATGTACATACATAATATGCTTGTAAAATGTAAAATAATGAAATGTAATAAAATGTAATATAAGGTTAGTTATATTGTTCTTGTACTATTTTCTATTCAATCGAGTACCTATAAAAGATACATTTACAACATACGTTGGTCATGGTAAATGTGTAGATAAAAGCAAGTATTACTTATTAAATAGTTTAATTGCAACCTAACCTACGGCGGAAAGATTGTGTGGGCGGTGGTGCATCTTGAGTACTTAATCAAAAGACCGCGACGGCGATCCTGGGTTTTTTGACCCGGCCTGTGGCGGGAACACGGAGTCGTCGGGTATTGTGTTTTGTCGTGTTGGCAGCACTGGTTAAGCGGTAATTTTTGAAATTGGAAGAGTGTCTAGTCGTAAGTCGGAAATTCGGATTCCGAGTTTGAGTGTCTAGCTATCAGTCATCTCGGGT